TCTGTCACTCCGTCTGCAGACACAGTAGAAAAACTCCACATTCTGCATCTCCCAGTGTTAAAAAGATATGGAATTCCAGTGGTGTTCCCGCAAAGTTTCATCCCCCTTGATCCAGCGTTACCGGAGGTAACCAACCAAAGCAGCAGCGGCAGTTTCGGTTCGGTAGCGGTAACGGTAAGCTAACACAGCCTTACCCCGAGGGGCACGGAACACACACCGCTCTTTAACCGGGCGCTGACCCGGGGAGCAGCGGGGCCGCTCCCGCCCGGCCCGGCGGCGCTCCCGAGCCCGCGGGCTCCGGGCGGGCTCCGGGCGGCGGCGGGGGCACCGTGGCCGTGGTACCTGCGCCGTGCCGCCGCCCAGGCCCGCGGCGCAACCCGGGGCTCCTGCCCGGGCACCCCCTGCCTGCCCGTCCTATTCTGCTTTATTTCCGCGTGAAATGACTTGCACGTTCTCCCATGAAAACACGAAATAAGCCAAAATAAGCTGTCCTTCCTCTTCTGCGTGTCGCGGTTTTCGAGCGCTTCCAGCCCGAGGCTGTAGGGATGGTCCCAGGTCTGCGGGCGGGGAAGCCGAGGGTGCTGCTCAGGAGATCCTCTGCTAACTTTGTTCGTGTGCTGCTGCCTGTGCCAAGGACAGGCCAAGCGTAGAGCCCCGGTTGTTTACAGGTGGAGCTCAGATCCTCTGACACCTGTACAGATGGGGTAAGCATGACACTCCCAAATTTCTGAATGGGGCACAGCTCAATGACGAGGGGAGCACCCTTTGTGGTGGCTTGGGGTGAATCTGGCCTTCAGTAGTGGGAGGATGACATGGAAGTGTCCAAGATGGATAAAAGTTGTCTGCAGAGCCATCTTCAGTAGTTGTCTCCTTTTCTGAGCTAAAACCCTGTGAAAATAAGTTTGAGGGAAGAACAGATATGCTTAATGTATTCAGGGCTTGAGTGGATGCTAGGTTGCATTCCTTATGCAAAGACGAGGAAAACTTTCAAGTTGTGTTGATCTGTGGCTCAAGGACATCATGGTGTTTGTGAGAAAAGAGAAACTTCTATATGTGTTTTTATCTCTCTTGTCCAGCTTGTCAAATTTATTTTGTTATTGCTGTTAAAGTGGGCTTTGTGTAACAGTAATGTCATGGAAGGCTTATGTAAGGAACTGGTGGAACAGCTTCTTCGAAGTGATTCAGTGTCATTGAGTACACCTTGACATGATACAAACGTCTGTTGTTCAGGCACCCATTTTATAACATTACAACTGCATCATTTTCCTTGAGCAAATTTCTGAAACTGCTTTCCAAGCCAGTCTGCTGTTGGCATTTCTGATGGTTTTGAAAGAGAGCTGGTAACCCCAAGAACCCACAAGTATGTTTTCTAATGAGTAGTTTAGATTAGATAATCTTTGTGTGTGGTATCAGCTCTAACCTGTCTCATAATAGCTTTAGATGTCCTTTGTGTGTTGTGGACTTGGGCAATTATTTTAAGAAAAGGTGCTGGCACCTTGTTCAGGCACCCATTTTATAACATTACAACTGCATCATTTTCCTTGAGCAAATTTCTGAAACTGCTTTCCAAGCCAGTCTGCTGTTGGCATTTCTGATGGTTTTGAAAGAGAGCTGGTAACCCCAAGAACCCACAAGTATGTTTTCTAATGAGTAGTTTAGATTAGATAGTCTTTGTGTGTGGTGTCAGCTCTAACCTGTCTCATATAGCTTTAGATGTTGCTTTGTGTGTTGTGGACTTGGGCAATTATTTTAAGAAAAGAAAAAAAAGAAAACATTAGCATTTAAGGCAGAGGCCTACTGTAATGGTGATTGTCTTTTTAATGCCAATTGTTTATGTGTATGTTTGTCTCTGAACTAGGTTTGTCATGTTAAATCTGAAGATTTTAAGATGAGACTGCCTCTTTAATATAGACAGGCCCTTCCACCATGTATTCTTTAATTCAGGACTTATTTGAAGTATGCATGTTTGAAGTGCTTAAGTTTGTTGGTACAGTCACAAGGCAAATATTGTGAGTGTGGTGATAATGGCTTACAAGAAGATCTTACTTCTGTGAAATCCTGAATTGCAAGCCAGAACTAGTATGTGCCAAGTGAGGAGGAATTAAGTGGTATTACGTTCTATAAATTTGAGATGAGATTAGGATCATTTTATGTCATGGAATTTTAAGTCTTGGAGCTAAGAGTAGTAGGGTGTCTTGTGAGGTGAAAGCCAGGGTGAGGGGCTTTTTTTGGAGGCCAACCCTTCAAAGCCCTGTGGGGGAGAGTTGGTTACTGCTCTGTGAATGACATCTGAGGAATGGACAGGAATCAGGATGGTCTTCTTGTGAGCCAGAGTGATTTGTATTTTCTCATCTGCAAGCAATATGTACTGACTATTTTTAGGCTTGGTGTTCAAGATGGTAGGCTGGGTGCTTGCAGTGCTCTTACATGGACTGATGGTAGGTTCTGTAGTTCTCTGTGCTAGACCACATGAGGTAATGCTTCAAGAATGTGCTGTACAGAGATATTTATTGGTGCTTCTGAAGAGCTTGCTAGATATATTACAGTTAGAGTCAAAATTACTTGCTTTTGTTCGAGTCTTAAAAAAAGATTTTAGTTTACTGGCCAATAATATATTCCCAGATGAAGAGCAGTGATACTGGAGGCCTCTCTGCTTGAATAAGACCATAACAGCAATTAATTTAATACATCCATAACAAGTACACAAATATTATTTGTTTAGGGACTAACAGAATAAGATTCTGGCTTCTGAGTGTGGTGCAGTACTTCCTTGAACAAACACCTGGTTAAATTGCCTTTGCTCTTGAACTTCCTTAGCATTCCTCACCCTCAGGTCTTGTATTTGCATCCATGTGCATGCCTGCATGGAGGCTACTTCTAGGTGTTAGGGATTTACTAATACAGAAATGGGAGCTGCAGTGTCTGTGAAACAGCTGAGGAAATAAAGTGCCCTTCAAACATATTTTAGGGGTTACCAGCTGTAAGTAATTTAGCAGGACCTGATGCTGTCTTTTGAACTCCTCAATAAAGTCAGTTCATCAATACTTATAAATAAAAGAAGGTACAATATATACTGGTACCTTACTAGCTAGTGTTGAACATAAGATTATATTGTACCTTGCACCATTTAAACTAGTTGAAACAATGAGCACCCTCAGTGAGCACAGGTGGCACGGGTCTCCAAGGGAAGCTTTCAGGGCATCAGCAATTTCACTAAATGGGTCTTAGTCTGGTGATTATTTGTGGACCCAGGAAGGTTTCTACTATATTAAAAAAAATTTAAAAAATAAACCCAAGTCTGCTAATTACTGTTGTTTAGTATTAGATAATATGGTGAGAGTAACATTTTTTGCTTTAGCAGACTGCTGGGTCAGCCCTGCATTTTGGCGTGACTGCAGCATTTGCTGACACAGTTGAATTAGCAAGATCAAAGCTTGCTAGCTGCAAAACTGGGCTGGCTTACATTTGGACGTTGGTGTTAGAAGCTTGCTTAGAGTAGGTACTCACTAATGTGTTAAAGTTTTTATCCTTGATTTCAGCTGTATAACATGCTTCAGATTTATTGGTGCAGCTTCTTTACTCTGCTTTCTGTTGAAATGAGGTTGTCACCTTCACTGGTGGATGCTTGCTTTCCCTTTTGCATTTCGAGGAACATGCAGTTTCATTTGAAAGAAAGCTGCACTAAATTTAGAAAAAGAAAATCAATGTGGTAATGCTTGAGTGGATTTCACAAGATTTTGAGCACACTCATTAGTGTTTCTAGCATCATCTCTGATGATCCAGAATGGTTTTGTTTCCTAAATATTTACCTTTAGCAAAACAGCTATTCTTACTAAGCAGTCTGTTTAGCCTCATCTTTCTCAGGTGTGCTGTAGTCTTGCAGCTTGCATTGAATTAATGGCACTTGAATGTACAGCATCACTGAAGCAAATTGTTCAAAATAGAAGTTTTACTCCTTTAAATTTGATTTCTTTGCATATTAATAAAAGAGTGTAGTGGCATATGTTGATGCTTAAACTCCCTTAACTCATGAATAATGCTGTCAAACTGAGTTCCATGTAATTAAGAACCTAATAACTGTAATCATTCTCCTCTCTTTCTGTTTTCCCTCCCTGCTTTGTGGAAAAAAAAGCCCCAAACCCACACACTCCCCTACATTAATGGGCATTTTTGTATTGTAAGGTTTTAATGCTGCACTAGACAATAATTACTATTGTAAAATGTCTTTGTCTTTTAGGTAGTATACACAGAAATTTTCTTCTAAGCCATGTTTGAAAATGGGAGACATGAGACGAAGAGATCTAAGCACACACAAATACACTAAAATTATATGTTTTTTTTTTTCATTTAACACAATCATTTAAATAGTAACTGTTGCTATTTCTAAACTCTAAAGAAAATGGAGCATGGAGATGTTGGAGAAGACGTTGCTGAATCTTCCTGATGCTTTCCCTTTACAGACTTGTGTGTTGTCTTGAATGAACAAAAAAGGAAATGCAATACTGTAGCCGTTCTGTCTGTGCTCTGACAGCAGAGCACAGCTTTTCTCCCTGGCTTCAGCAACATGCATACCCCAGGAATTCTTTCCTTTCAGCAGCCTTCTTGTTCTGTGTTCAAGGGCAGAAGTGGCAAGTACAGTTAGATACTGCTGCAGTGAGTTTTTAAATTTGGAAAGGCCACTGTGTGCACTCTTTGTTGTGCTGTTTCTCTGTTGTAGCTGACTAAAACAGTAATTGGTTACACATCTGCTCTTTACTGTTACTCTGATGAAATATTTCCTGTGACTGAGTACATCTGTTACAGAAAGGTAGGTGGTGGAACTTTAATTTAACACACTGTAAAATATCCTGTGAGTTTAATTAAACTATATCTGAAATACCGGAGTACCTTTGCATTCAGCAAGTAGTAACCACCTGTGGTGTAGATGTTTTCTGGAACATCTTTTACTCCTCTACTTCTGCAGATTTATATTGCTAGAAAGGTTCTCTGGAGGCTTTGACAGATCATTGTGTGAAGTCTATGCAAATGGAGTGTTTTCCAAAACGATTGAGCAGAATAGCTCAGTATGTCTCTTAATCTCACTTCTTAGTGATACAGTACTTGTGAACTGCCACCCTTAGTGAAAATAGTTTAGTAATACAATATGCTTCCTCTTTCTCCTCCTCTCCCCTTTCTTCTCAGAAAGTACATTTATTCAGCCTTTTTTATGCTTGATTGCTAATTTTTAGCTTCATTTGATTCAGGAACCAAGATTCCAATAATTCTTGGTGGTTTTTCCATCCTACTTGGGGCATTACTGAGTAGAAGGAAGGTGACCTTAGTGAATTTTTCTTTTCAGAACTCATTTGAAACACTGGAAAGTGAAGATTAACTATATCTGGCTAATAATATGTAATGGATTGTTTTGAAGCACTTTTTTCTTACTTGGTTTCACTGGGATTTGGTGTCTAGCCTTGACTTGTGTTTATGTTTTCCCTCATCCCCCCTTTCCTCCTGTCTAGTGTGTTCTAACTACAAAAGTTTCAAAGAATTGAAAGACTTTGACTGGTTTGTGTACTACTGACTGTTTCACTAATCAATATTTAATATGGTTTTCATAGGATATGTAACATGACACTGATATTCTGGACAGGTAATTTTCATTGTTTGAAAACCTTACATAATAAGGGGAATCAGGTAACTGCTAGAAATGAGCACCTAATTTTTTTAAGCATCATATTGCCAAGGATCTGTTTTGTTAAATCTACTCTTGAAAAACCTGCAGCTTCTTACTGCTGCAATTAGAATCAGAAGAGTTCTGAAATTGTCAAACTGAAGTTAATATTTAAAGGGACACTGTCACTATTTTAAAACTGAATTGAAATCCTTGTTCTAAAAAAAACTCACTGATTATTACTCCATTACTCAAAGTTTGTAAGGCTGTTTGGTGGGATTCAGAACAATAATATTAAAGGCAGTGAAGCTATTCCCCTTAACTTCTCCTTCCCATCCTCTGTATGCACATGCCTGCTTGTGGCCTCTTTGGTTTCAGCTTTGCTGTGGCTGTGTGCACCCTCCTGCCGAGCCTGGGAACAGCTGCATGTGTGCCCTCTCCAGAACGTGCATGGGTGGTGTGTCATGCTGCTGCATGAGGAGAGGGCAGTCCCTGGCAGTGACACTGGCTGCAGGTGAAGTGCTGCTACCAAACAGAGACGGTGACGCCCGTGATTCCTACCCAGTCTGCTCCGTTTGCTCACGAGCTGCCAAAGTAGAAACTTCTACGTAGAGAACGTGAGAATTTCACTCTGTAAAGATGTAATCTCATGCGTATGACTGTGTCCCTTTAAATTCTATGTGCTAGAGTGTACAGCTGCCAAATCTGTGGGTACTGATGCCGAGTGCTGCAGTTGATTCATTGAGGGAAGGGATAGCACCCAGAGGGACCATGACAGGCTTCAGGAGTGCAAACCTCATGAAGTTCAACAGGGCCAGCTGCAAGGTCCTGTACCTTGGGTTGGAGCAGTCTCCAGTATCAGTGCAGGCTGGAGGGTGAATGGATTGAGAGCAGAGAGGGACCTGCGGGTATCAGGGCACGAAAAACCAGACATGAGGCAGAAATGTGTGCATACAGGCAATGGCACAAGAAGATGTGGACCTGTTAGAGCTGGTCCAGAGAAGAACCACAAAAGTTATCAGTATCAGTGTGCTGCAAACCTCTTCTGTGAAAAAAAAAAGCTGAGAGAGGTGGCAGTTTTAGCCCAAGAGGATTTTCTGGGGACAGCTTGTCAGGGTCTTTCAATACTTAAATGGAACTTTGGAGAAAGAGAGACTTATTACCAGGAACTATAGTGATGTGACAAGGGTTAATGATTTTAACCTAAAAGAGGATAATTAAGGTTAAATAGAAGGAAGAATTTTTTCCAGTGAGTGTGGTGAAACATGGGCACGGGCTGGCCAGAGAGGCAATGGATGCCCCACCCGTGGAAGCATTCAAGGTCAGGTTGGACAGTGCTCTGAGCAACCTGATGCAGATCAAGATGTCCCTGCCCATTGCAGAGGAATGTGACTAGATGACCTTTAAAGGTCCCTTCCAATGCAAATCATTCTACTCAAAAAAAGGATATTGCTCGGTAATGTCCTCCAAAATGAAGTAGTTTGGCAGAAAGGGCAAGTGAAACCAACATAGTTAAAACAGTGGCTTGTAAGGCATAAGCCGCATTAACATCTAGTGTCTAACAGTTCAGGAGCCACATCTGGCAGGGATTAGAAATTGGCTTTTGTTTTTTTTACACTCCTCTGCCCCCAGATCTTAAATGAAATTGTGTTAATGGATTTATGGGATTATATGTAGCTATGTGTATGGATAAAATTGTCTTAACAAATCCACCTGTGTGCACACTGATGCTTCTGGCCTTAAAATGTAATCCCAAACTGCAGAATATGGTAACTGAAAGCCATTGAAAGAGTGGTTCCCAAGGGAGCTAGAAAGCAGGGTGGAACTGGGGAGAATATATATGTGTGTGCTTGGGATCTGATCCTCTTTTGAAAAGAAATAGAAATGTGATGAGCATGGAAAACCTGTTCCTCATTCTTGACCATATGTCCATGAACGGGAAGATGCTTAGTGAAGCCCAGAAAATTGCAGTAACTGTTTATGGGATGGACTTTTAAAAGATTTTGTAGAGGAATCTAGCCACAGTGAATAGCAGAATTTAGGCAAATAAGGAACCACCCAATCGTAGTTTTTTCTAGTCTCTTTAATTTGTGAATGTAGCTATTTAGTTACTTCTGATTAATCACACATAAAAAGCTCTGATGGGATTAGGTGCAGGGGAGGACTCTGTGGAATCCAGAGGATATGAAAAATAAAATTTAGTACAGTACAGGTCACCGGTGCAACGTAAATTTTATTTTAGATTCACTATGGAATTGGTGTCAGGTTACTGGAACACAGTTCTTCCAAAAGCTAATTAAAATACCAGGTTTTTTAATAAGGATGGATGGGCATTAAAATCTTAACTAAATCTAGTCTCATTTTTGATACTAATATCTGTATCTTTTTAAATTTTCATTTTGTGATATAAAACCCAAAAGAGATTTCAAGCTCTTGTTGCTCACAGTGCTTACTGTGTTTTTAGTAAGATATGCTTTCCTTGGCTATATGATCTGTTAGAAAGCTGCAAACACCATGTCAAAGCCCTGAACTGGTTAATGCCTGCTCTTGTTAATAGCCATGGTGCTCATTCCTAGCGTGAGATCCAGCGTGTTGGCGGATCTTAAATTGGAAGTGGCCCTGGGTTTGGTTTAAATTTTCTCTGATCAACTTGTGTAAAAGGAAGCTCAGTTGCCTGGTTAGCTTTGCCAACTCTGCTCTCCTATTTCTCTGCAGATTATTGTACCTATTTTAAGTTTTAATTGTTGTTTCAGAAACGATTTATGCTGGAGAATGAATTTTTAGTTGGTTCTCATTGTACATGATTGAAAAATTTTGGGTAATCAATCCTGAAATATTTGAAATGTTTAACAACTGGTACCCCATGAAACAAAAATTAATTTCTGTTGAATGTTGGGTTTAAATTAAAAAAATCCAATAATTAAATGCTTGTAAAAATAAGATTTGACAGTAAAAAACATATTCTCCATATTTATGCAATCAAACATAATTTGATTTTTCATATATATTCTCCACATTTATGCAATAAATCAGACATAATTTGATTTTTCTTAAACAGGGGAAGCAGTAGCTCATACATGGTAATACTGTTTGGCGATACTGTCAGGTGGTGTTAGGTGAATTGAAATGCATATATTTGGCTTTATCAAGGTGACAGAAATGAACCTCATCACCAGCAGCCTGTTAAGTCAGGTGCACTTTCACTACTCTCATAAATTCATGGGCATTTTCATTATTAAGGGAAGTGAAACCATGACCTGCCAAAAATGGTGGAAGGTAGTTTTCAGAACTTCTGTCATGAAAATTAATTTCTGCCTAATTCTGAACAAGGATGTCTGTTAAATTTTGTATAGTAATGCTTAAAGTTGAAGAATACATTTTTAACCTGACAGTGTCCCTAAATTACCATGTTTGCTTTCATTTTCCAGCTGGGTTTTAATTTTGCATGCATTTCAGTTAACTATAGTATGCATAATAGTTGTTTCCTGGAAGCATTTTGGGGCTGTCTTTGCTGGTGTTCTCCAAAATGAGCAAGGAAGTGGAATTTAGTTTTCTTTTCTGGAGGTTTGTTAGCTAATGAATAAATAATGCAGAAGCAATTCCATTCTATTTACATATATGCATATGGTTTTGAACTTAATGTTGTTTGAAGAACCACTGTAAGTAAGAGGGATCTCTTCTTTTTAATGACAACCCAAACAACTCCAAAGTTTAGTAGAACTAAATACTTCCATTTTGAGAAAAATATTTAAATAGTGGTTCGTTTGGCAAAGCAATTTGTAATGTATGATGCTTGTCCTTAGTTTATCTTAGGAGCCTCTGTGAAGCTGTTTTTTTGAAGTAATGCCAATAGAAAGTGGAAGCTGTGCATCTGCTCGCCAAGCAAAGCAGAAACGTAAATCACACAGCCTTTCCATCCGGAGAACCAACAGCTCCGAGCAGGAGCGGGCGGGACTGCAGAGAGACATGTTGGAAGGGCAGGTAAGGTGATCCCTGGGGGCTTGCATCACTGCTTCATGTGATCCCTATGGGGGGAAGCTAAACAAACTTACATATTGAAATATGTGCAGCTGAGCTGCAGGAACAGCAGATTTTGTTGCTTGTAAGTGCTCACTGCTTTTGGAGATGATTGATGTGAATGTTGACAGTGTTTCAGGTTGTGTTGAGACCTGTGGAGTTTATCAGCTTCTGTGTTTTCTTAGATGAATGATCAAGCCATAAAACTGTGTAAACCCCAGCCTGTTTATTCACTACAACCTCTCCCTCCCACCTGCAAAAGAAAAAGGTCAAGATTGATTCTTGCTTTCATAAGTTTGCATTTGGAATAGTAGCAATCCAGAAATATGAATAAACCAAATACTTCTTATGATGACTCTGATAGGGAAAATATTAGTTGGAATGCTGTTCTGCATTCCTTTCCATAAAGTAAACAAATACTGCCTGCCTGGCAGAAGTGTGAGCTAACTCAGATTTTTGTTTGTGTGGGTTTTTTCTTGTTTGACTCAAATGAAGGTGTGCTATTCTGGGATTAAACTTGAGGGAAGGAACAGCAGCCACTGCTTCTGTAGCTTTCTTAAACACATCAGTGCAGTGGGTGCAATCTGGACTTGGAATGTTGCACCTAAAAATTCTGAGATTACTTGTAGGTAAGGCTTCTGTCAGAAGCAGTACTGGCAAAGTACTGCTTCAGTTTCAAAATCGTTTATTGTCAAATTGACTACACAGTGTTAGTGTGGGACTGGCAAAGATGATGCAAAACTTGATTTTTATGAGACAGTTTGAAATACAAATGGAGTTTGGCTATGAGAAACCTCACACTGCAGATATGCTGAAGGGAAAACCTGGTGCTTTCTCAGTGTTGTGACTGAGAAATTAATTAAATCTGTTTTTCAGTAAATCACAGCATTAATTTTCTGGGAATTAACAGAGCTTCGGTTGTTGCTTCTAGTCATCTAGAAGTTGGAGAATCAAGTACTTGGATAGAAATCTCTTAATGCATTTGTAACTACTGCAGCCTTACTTCAGGAAAGCCATGAAGGGCAGCTGAGAGGTCAAGATATGCTGTCACCCCTGCATAGTAAACCAAAATGTTAAGTTCTTTTTGTATTTCTTAGCAAACTCTAAGTGTATTAGGCTGTAATGCATAGACGTTTAAAGTGTTTTATCTATCATCTTGGATTTTGTTGACCTTGAGCAGCTAGGTGGCAGATTCTATCAAGTAGAGTATTAGTGCCCCTTCACAGTGGAGCTGTAAACCTCATGAGATCTAGCTAAGGACTTCTGCAGATAAAGAGATAACATTATTACATGCTGTTTTAATAAGCTGTTTTAAACAATGCTAACTTTAAACAGAGGAAAGGAAGTGAATGCATTTTACTCTGTTGGTTACTTCATTACAAGTTTAGATTTCTTTATGCTTTCGGGCTTTGAAAAGTGGTTTGAAAAACTTCTACGTCTCCTTTTTAGTTGCAAAAGTTGTTGGATAAGTTAGTTTCTTCCATAACCTTGCTGTATGAAATTATTGGGTAATTGAATTTGAAACAATTCTTCTAACTTCAGTGTTTCTCTTAATAGTGTTTAATGTATTTAATCAGTTTTGTTTCTCAGTTTTGTTTCAAGTTGGTTTTAATTAGGATCTGTTGTGCTTCTGGTTGTCTGTGAATGCCTGAACAAAAGAACCCTATCAAGGGAGAGGCAGATAAATAAAGGAATGATGTGGAGGAGCTTAATGAGCATGATCCCACTCCTTCCAGCACAGTGCCACTGCTTAAACCAGCTGTGAACCTGTGTGAAATTGTGCACAAAGCAGGTGTGCTCTGTGTCATGGCTATGAGTGGTCTCTCTTGCTCTCTCTTTAAACTTGGGAAATAACTTACACAGCCAGGGTCATGGCTGGCCCTTCCCGCTGTGCCTGCAGACAATTCCCGGGGCTGTGGCGGAAGGTGACTCAGTTAAGTGAAAACTTTTAAAAAAAAGAAGTTTATAGCTGGCTACCTAGGTAAATGGTAAGTGTAGTAAGCCAATTTACATATTGTGGTCTACAAGCAACTGAGAAATAGAATGCTCGAGTAATATCTGAGGAGGGAAGGATTAGAAATTGTAGTTTTCTTCACACTTAGTTGTGGTTAGTGAGAAAAGTAGGTAAATGTTAAAAATACATTTAAAATTTTAGTTTGTCTTAAGCTTTGGTAATAAGATGCATTGTGTTCACAACTTTCTAACCCATTGCATAGTCAACTCTTGAATTACTTTATCAAACAAAGGTATTCTTTTTTCTTGAACTGGAAACATATTGATTAAAAAGAATTTTTTCCTCACTTTCTGGTTTTTTTAAATTAATTGTACATGCATCTTGATTTTATAATTTTTCTCTAGTAAAGAAAACCAAAACAAATACCATAGGTGATTTGAATTCTATCCCTTGAAAGTGAAAGAATATATAAAATGAATAACTCTGTGATGCACAGAGCTATTTGTTTTGTGTTCTACTCTAGCAGTAGTTTTAATTTACCTCCTTGCTGGGACATTGAGATAGCTGTTAAAATCAGTTCAAGATTGAAGAGTAATTTTATTAAATATATGTAAAGAAAAATATAACCCCCAATATTTTGCCTCCTAGGATTCCAAGTTACCATCTGCTATCCGGAATACACTCCTTGAACTTTTTGGACAAATAGAGCGGGAATTTGAAAACTTGTATATTGAAAATTTGGAATGTGAGTATATATTTTTTTTCTCCAACTTATGAATTGTTCATATTTAGGTTGAAGTAACACTAATTAAAACACATTGGATATTGTAGAATAATTAGTGTAACTGTTCTGTGAGCAGTTTAGTACTTGTTCTGATTTTGTAGCCAATGAAGGAGTTTGTACCTTCTCAGAAAAATCACTTTCTTAGCTCTTTGATGCAAGCAGTGAGAACTGATGTCTGTCAAAGCTTGTGAAGGGTCTGTCTCCTTATCATTGTAGGCTCTGGTTATGTTAATCTCCAGAAACTCCATCCAGCCTTTGAAGTTTTTGGCTTTGTTTTATAATTACAGGCATAATTTTAATGATGTAGTATTAGTAAATAAATTTGGAAAACCTACTTGCTTGAAAAAGTGGAAAATGGAGTGGTTTTGGATCAAACTACTTACACATTGCATAACCTGCACCTGCAGCTGTTCAGGAGTTTTGAAGTCAAGCAGTCAGATAAAAATTCCAGGTGTTATCTTAAAAAGGTGTTTGTTTGATGACAGTGCAGTTGTCTGATAATGGAAGTGATCCAAGCTGATGTAAGAGGATCCCAAGTTAAGTAACACAGGCCTATACAGTCAAGCCTCCCTTGCTGGAATTTTAAGCTGTGTTACATTGGCTTGGATTCTGAGTTATGGAACATGTCTGATTTGGGTCCAAGTCAATTTTTTTTCCACACCTAATCAGTTCCCACAGTTAAATCAGACACTCATGTTACAAAAAAAACCAAAAAAGTAAAAATTCTTGCCTGCTTTCTTTGACATATTCTGGGTTTTTTTATTCTCTTAACCTGTGATTGTTTTGGTTAAAGGCTATTATCAAAAGTATGCATTTTTTAGTGACAATTTGCACAACTGAATTCTTGGCCTCCTGCTGAGAAGTTGGCTGGTACTAAGAAAAGTAGAATTGTCCTCCCCAGCCTTCAGAAATGCTTGTCAGAAAGCAAGTGGTGGATTTGTACCCTCCAGAGTATGATTATTTTCCTTCTTTTCCATTTCTTTATCTACTTTCTTCACCTCACAGCTCTAGTTATGATTGTGATCTCTTTTCAACCCCCTGACAATTTCTAAATTTTTCTCTTCTCATGCTCAGTCTAATATTTTTTTGTTCTTGGTCTAATTCCTACTGTAGTGCAGGAGTTACTGTACACAGAACTTTTTTTAAAAAATGAATTCCAAAGTATAAAAAATAGTCATTTGCAGCACTACCTTTCTTCTGAGACTCTATAGTAGACAAGTATTTAGGGAGAATGCTATTTTGTGATTAATATAGCGTGTGTTAAGAAAGGATGTGCTAATTCTGTGGCTAAAATATTTATGATGCCACAAGTTTTCTGTCCTCTGCTGGATTTAATTGAATACAGATGGGCCATGTATTTCACAGAAATGCTTTTGTTAAACCTTAGAGTAATTAGAAGCCACCAGTACTTTGGAATCTGGATCAAGGTTGATCTCTGGAAAATTCAGCATGAGTCTTGCTTTATGTCTTAGTAAGACCTGCTTTAATAAAATCCCAGTTCATCTCCTTTCCTCTCCTTAGCATAAAATCGCTTACTTACTAACCATAGCAGTTCTGAAATGGTATGTTAATGCTGTTATTAATGATAGCCAGTTTTTGTAGTAATGTGCATTTCTGGATTTGTTAGTGCGTAGGGAGATTGACACCCTGAATGAGCGCTTAGCAGGTGAAGGACAGACAATTGATGGTGCTGAGCTGAGCAAAGGACAACTGAAAACAAAAGGTAAGAGAGCCACAAAGAATCCTAAACCAGTATTTCTGAATCCACCTTTTTGTACCTTGTTGACCAAAACTTAGAATGTTGCTGATGGGAATTAATACCAGTTACTTGTACAAACAAGCTAATGCTGTATTTGAAATATCTTCCTTTGAATTTATTTGTCTCAACAGCCAGTCATAGCACCAGTCAGCTTTCTCAGAAATTAAAGACAACTTACAAGGCATCTACTAGCAAGGTATGAGACAAATTAAATCTCTACTCATCCATGTGTACATCCATGTGAGACTAATGTGACTGTGTTTTAAGTTGTAAATTGGGGTTTCTTTAGCTGGGTAGTGCTGGTCTGTGAGTAAATCTGCTCCTAAGGAGTAGTATGTTTATCTTGGATTCATCAATGACCCATTACTTCAACTACACCATATGATATTGTTACAATAATTACTCACCTTCTTTGAAGAAGGGATGTTGGAGGGGAGAGAGTGTGCACATGTGTATGTGGGAGTGCTGTTTTGTAAACAGAACTAAAAAAAATAATTCTGTTTCTGAGGGAAATAGAGAACTTGCTAGTGGAATTCTGAATAAAGATTTGGGTATTGCAGTTGAAATGGGGATTTAAGTAGGTGCCTCTATGTGTACTATTACACGTTCCCTTTTAAAAATAATTTTTATTTTTAGCTATGAGACTAGAACAATTTGTTTCCTTTATGTTGCAAGCCTTGCTCATCAGTAGCTAGTGATGTTTTTTCCCTTGGTGTACTGGCACAGTTAACCTTTCTGATGCTTTTCATTTTGTACATCTGCATCAGCCTAGTATTTTTGTTTCCCTCACTCTCTCCTCTTTTTCAATTTTTGCAGAGAGTTTACCTGCTGCTGTTTTTTTTCCTCTATCAGAGTCATTTAATGATATATTATTAAGGTTAAATAAAATGTGAGGAAACCACAGTGGAATCTGGTATGTCAACCAGCTGTGTAGGCAGCTCTGTGGTGACCTGTAATGCAGGCTGATATGTGGTGTAGGTGTCTTGGAAATGCCTTCTCTTAAGTATGAAAGTTTGAAAATAAGAATAGGGTAGTGAAATAGACTGAAGTTACCGTGGTTTATTTGGTATGCTTTTTATATTGCTGTTTTTCAAACCTTTATTCTTGCCAATTTGATGCATAAAGGTGCCTCTTTCAAGACTTAATGACTTGAAAATTCTTTAATGAGACCACTTAAATAGTGACAACATGATATTAATAGGGGCTGTATAGTTTTGGTACACCTACTATATAGTTATGAATTAGTACCCTCTAGTGTAGTGTGTTGTTTTGTGGGGTTTTTTTGGTCTTTGTGGGTTTTTTTTGGTTTTGTTTTGTTTGTTTAGTTTCTTTTGTTGTGGGGTTCTTTTTTTTTGTTTGGGCTTTTAAGGCAGTGCCAAATCCTTGTCCTCTTTTACTTTGTTTCAATGTAGCACTTGTAGTTTTTGCTGAGCAAGACAGGCAGACCTCACAGCTTCAGCCTGGGAAGCTGGGAAGTGTGAGGAGGAGACTCCTGGGGAGCTGATCTGCATGCACAGCAAAGCAGCCATGAGTAGTGGAGCATGAAGAATTTAATACCTGAACATTATGCTCATCTCTTGTATCAATTGGTAGCCGACAGATATCTGCATGTGCTGATGTATTTCACAACTTTGAGTCAGAATGTACTGGGGAGTAGACAGGAGCTGAAGGAAATTACAACACTGAGAATATCTCTGTCCAGTGCGTTCTTTGTAACCTTAATGCACTTCACAGAGGTGATTTATTTTGACCTCTCCTTCCTCCCCACACAGAAGAGTCAAAGCTGTAAACTTTTGCCTCTTGACCCACAGAGAGACTGTAGCAAAGAAAGAACACAATTTTTCTAACAAACCATGATTTTCCATCTGGATCCTGACTGGATGTAGTACCCCAATACCCTGTCTGAGGAAAAACACATTTATAGTTTTAAGAGTTCAACAGCTTTGAAATTCTTATGGCTGTACTTTCTGTGAGCATTGAATGAACAATGCTGTTTCCCAAAATGGTTGTGCTCCAAACTCCCTGGGGTAGCAGATCACAAGTTTTTTCTTCAGCCCTTTATACTACTACCGTACAGGGGTTTCTTGGGTGTGTGGTTTTTTGGATTGGTTGTGGGTTTTTTTTTCCCATGGAAGATTAGAACAGGCTGAAGTTTTACAAACCAATTGTTTTGTGTAATTGCACACAACTACATTTTTCAGATTGGCAGTGCATATAGAATTAATTTTTTCCCTGAAAAAACCTTTCACTGTTTGCTTAATCTAATGAGAAGGCTGATCCTTGACTGCTTTAATATTGGTAAAAATACTAGGACATGGTAATAAATACTAAAGCAATCTGTTCATTCTCTTGGGGAAAATGCTGAAGTGAACATTCTTAATTCAAGCCCTTCATGTGAAATTTCCATGCTGGAATGTTTTTCATCACTTAGCTATATATCAAGTAGGCAAAACTCATTTCAGAACAGCATGGTTTTAGCAGCAAGGGTTATCAACCAATGTCCAAATCCTGAAGAGGCAGAGTAGATTTAAAATTTGGTAATCTTAAAACTCATTTTTTGTTAATGGACAAGATTCTGTAATTTAAGTGCAGTTAATTTTAGATGCAGGAATCACTATATGAAATCCATGTTTTGATATTAACAAAATGTAATGGCTGCTGTTAGTGATGCCTGGCTTATGAAAGTTGTTACAACATCAGGGAAGCATCAATTGTTTATGCAGAGATCTAAAATAAACTGAAATGATGTAACTTGCTCCATCCAAACTAAATACCAGGATCTCTGATTTGTCCATATCAGGATAAAGACTCTTAAAAAAAAAAGTATTTCTGCACCAAATAGTTAAAAGGAATAAAACTTTTTTGACTATGTAGTTTTGCCCTCACTGCTTAAAGCTGCTTTACAGAACATTCTGTTCATCAGGCACAGTGTAATGCTGCTGGACTGGTCCTGAGTTGATCAAGTTTTTATTCTTGTTTCTAAAGTACCCTGTCTAAGAAACTTTGTTACAGGGTGCCTCACTCTGCTTGCCAAGCAATTGTTTCAGTTTGTTTTCAATTTTCACTTGTTTACATAGTAAGCAATTGTTTCCCTATTAACAAATCTTTTTGTAGAAGGAAGTACATGAAACTGTATCAATTTAAGAAAGAGGACAGGCAAAGATGAAACACACTCAGGATGTGTTGGTCATTTATTTGTGTATGATGATCTACAGAAGTTACTTCAGAAATTTTCTGCACTACAGAGACCTCTTTTTAGCAAGTTGCATGTTCTTTAAATATTTCCTTTCCTGGCTTGGGACATTGTTTATGTGTGCTTAGCAAAGCAGGAAGTAGTCCAGGCCCTGTCTAGTTTATCCAGTTGCTGGTATGTGAGGTGAAGAGCAGCAAAAAAGGAAAGGAAAAAAAAGCTTGGAAAAAGTGTGTGTTGAGTAAATATCTGTATCAGGATGTTTACTGTTGGATAGTGTTCTTGAACTCTTTTCTTCTGTGTATTAATTAAAGACTGCTAATATCTCAAATGGAGTTTTACATCCTTGCCATTACATGATCAGTGAAACCATTGTCCAGCAGTTCTGGAAATTCTGTGTTTATTGAAGGGTAGGGGATAGTTTCTCCTAGAAAACTTTTGTATGGGGGTTTGACTCAACATTAGAAAGACAGAATAGAATGCAAGCACAGGCTGAGTTGAAAAATACCAAGTTTGAAGTTTGAGCTGAGTGCTGTATTAATCCTTTCCTGTTAGTATTTAATTCAGCTGTTCCACTTTTCATACATGAGTCCATTTAATTTGAGGACTGTATTCAATATAAAAGTTGTATCTGTAGGATGGTGTTGACAATTTAGGAAATTTTGCAGTATGGTTGAACTAATAATCCTTACCATTAGCCCATTTTCTTTTCAGTGCATCTGTAATGACTGTTCCTTCTGCTACTGTGAAACCAAAATGCATATTAGCTGATAATTTGGAATTCAAATAGGCATTATCATTTCATCATTAGAGAGTTGACATGCTCAGGGTTTGGAATGCTCTTGCAGATTTTCTTTTAGCTTTAAAAATCTTTTTTGAAGTAATTTGCTTTAATGACATAGTTAAGACCTTCTATTTTAATACCAGAAACTAATGGGATTTTAACCTTAGTTTATTGTATCTGAAATGTAGACTTAATTAACTTTCTAACTTTTACTAAGCTGTAGATAAGTCTTAATGTGATTCGTGTTGACATATTTAAAGGTTTTGATTTAACTGGTCAGATACCTGCCTGTAATTCCATGCTGAGGAAAACACTGATAAATTGAAATTGTCTTTTTCATTCAGTTTAACAAAGCTTTTGAGGTAGTCTTTTTCAAAGAAGAGTTATGAGGTTCAAGACTTGTTGGGTAAAAATAGGGTATTTGTAATGATGGCTTTTTTAAGCCATCTTTCATGACTCTTTGTTTCAATTGTCTATGGAAGTGTTAAGCAAGAAAAACTTTTTTTTTGAATATCGCACTTCTCTTTATCTGAAAATGTAGAATGTCTGCAATTTGCATCCTTTCTGTAGATGCCAAGTGTTTTGAGCATTCCTGCACTGTAATGACTTGTAGTTTTACTGTTTTACTACACTTTTCTTCCTTTTGTTTGATATCACTTATGCACACAGTAATTTGGATTTAATGAGCCTTCTCTGTTTTTCCTCTAATAGCTTCACTTTGAGGGAGCATGCTTATCAAATGTTTAGATGAGTTTGACATATATTTTTAAAAGCTTCATTACACAAATAAACAAGGCATATGCTCTCAGGTTGATGTTTGATTTGATTAGATTTGTTCAGTTTTAAAGAAAAACAGCAGTGAGTGTTTTAAATTGGACTGTTTCTGGGTTTTACTAGAATTATATAATAAGTACATTTTTTTCAAAGACATTACACTGGCTAGCAGGGATTGTCTTGAGTTACCAGATGTACTTGTTTGGGAATAGGCAAGGAAACTTTTAAGGTCTTTTTCTGGGTTTGCTCTTTTTTTTTTTTCCATTAAAATGCTTACCCAGACTGAATGAGAAATGCGCTCTGCACTTATTCCAATAAGATTGCATTATTGTAGTACAGAATAGTTTGTCTTGCATTCTGTAAAAGGGCTGCTACTAAAAAAGGAAAAAAAAAAAAGAGAGGTATATTTGCATCCAAACTCACTTTCCTACCATCAAATGTCAAATTTTTGACAGTAATGATTTGTCAGAATGTTAAAGAATCATGGAAAAGTTAATATCTATTCTTATTTGTAAGATAACTACCTGATCTTGGTTTGATGTGGAAAAAAATGTTGGTGTCTCTGCTATTTCAGATTGTATCCAGTTTTAAAACTACAACATCAAGGGCAATCTGTCAGCTGGTAAAGGAATATGTTGGCCACAGGGATGGTATTTGGGATGTCAGTGTCGCGAAAACTCAGCCAGTGGTGTTGGGAACCGCATCTGCTGGTAAAGTTCTGTGTTGCTTGAATATTTAGAAAATTCTGGTGAAGTCCCTAAGCTATAGCAAATACAGATCCAAAGTGTACTCAAAAACTGAGCTTCACACTGAAAGAGTCCTTTTAAAGAAGTTCTGTAGCTGAAAAATTCTTAAAATTGGAATTTCCTTTCCCTTAGAAGGTTCAAGCATACTTGTTGGTCTCCCTAAAGTGTGTGCCAGTTCACTTCCATGCAGGTCACACTCTCCCTAGTCAGCTCTGGCATGTTGGGTGGGTGGGATGGGGAGCTGCTTGCTCAGGGAGGCCTCTGGCACAGAATTCCATATGCCTGGAAACAGAGATCCCTGCAGGCTTCCTCTCCTAGCATTGTTTAGTCTTTGTTTAATAGAAGCTGTACATGTGGTCATAGTTTGCATATTCTTGTATTCTTGCATTCTATCTTTTGTCTCAAAACACAGGGGCAGCTAAAAATCTTAATTTTCAGTCCTTTTTACTTTATTAGCTTTATTCCTTCCACTTGAGGGGGTACAAGTACTAATGAACAAGTCACTAAATCTATTATAGTCCAAAAATCGATGTATAGACTTGTGTAGTTTTGGAAAATTATTAGGAAAATAAATCATGACCAGACAGAATCAGTCAATTTGAAGTGACATTCTTTTGAAGCTGGAACAGAATCTGAAGGTATTGACTAGACTTTAATATTTATGGGCCAGAAATCTCTGCTTCTTGAACTGATCTGTTACAATTTTTATGTCCCTGCTGAGGGGGCACATTTTGTTTTTGTGTGGGACACCTTATCTTTGTCCTGATTTAACCTGGAAACCATTCTCCAATTCAGCTTTAAAGTACTACCCACTTAAATACTTAAATTAATTATTTATTTTTGGGTGTGGCAGGATAAAGGAGTGGCATTTGGAGTGATTTCCTTTTTAAATTAATTTTTTAGTGCTCTGCAGTGACCTGTATGCATTTGGGATTTCCATGCAGGAAGTAAATAGATTGTGCATAGAATTCCTGTTTGTAGTGGCTGCCTTTTTCACCATGGAATGCTTTCTCTTTTTTTTTCGGAGTCTTGTGATACATGGCTGGAGCATTATACAGAATTTGCCTTTCAATTTGCCTTGCTGCAAATTAATCTGATACCTTTACTTTTTGGGGGAGATGTGTACAATGATAAAAATATGTTAGGTTTTGTATATAAGGTGGTAGTCAAGAGTTCTACATTTAAAATCTATTTCATACGGTTTGTGCTACAGTGGAAGATAAGTTGTTTGTTGAAAGGGTAAAAATGAAAAACATATGTTTTTAACTATTTACAGCTGCTTTTTAATCTTTGTAGATCACACTGCTTTGCTGTGGAGCATAGAAACAGGGAAGTGCCTTGTCAAGTATGTAGGGCATGTCGGCTCAGGTAAGATAAGGGCATGTTGTGAAAACTGGGAACAGAGCATGGGAGGGGGAAATGTGTTTTGGCCAGCTACAGAAATGTTTATTGTGGTTTCACTTGCAGGTTTGCCAACATCATTAACAAGTCAATTGTGCAGTTCTACTAATTTTCATACAGAGAATGTTTTGTAATATGATTCTTTATTGGTGAGGCACATTAAGACAGTTCTGCAAATGCTAAATGAATAAACAAGTCCATATAAAGAAATTTACAGGCAGAGTTGCGACACTCAGAAGTTAAATGTCATAACTCAATGTGGTCTTGTGCATGTGGAGAACAAAAGAAGCTTATATAATCAGAAATTAGCTGTCTTGCAGGATCTGTGTTATATTTGGGTTAGAACTACAGATGCTAGGTGAATAACTTTTTGCACTTCTTTGTTTAAGATCTCATATATAATTTGGTGCATAATGCAAATATCTTGTTTTTAAGACAGTTAATTAAATATAGGTATTTTTCTTTCTTTATACCAGTATGAATATTGTAGAAACTGTTTTTTAAACCCCTCTTTGGGTGGGGAGGTGCAGTGCAGTGTATGTCTTTGATGTTAATTTTTGGTGTCCAATTTGACAGGAACTTGATTAACACCCTTCTGACTCTTAATGGGTTAGAATACAGGATTTTATAGACCAAAACTGGAAAGGTTTTCCATAGTTTTTACTTGCTGTTGTGACCTGAGCACTTTGAGTGATCATACTGGAAAAGTGAGGAGCCCAGTTATTGACCAGGATTGTTTGGTTAAATAACTCAGCACTTCACATGAACTTTTTGGCAAGGGTAGAAATAGAATTAAATTCTCTAGAACTGCTTCAGCTGTGAGTTTTTCTTCCTGCTATGTGACTTCTAGCTCCTACAGCACAAAGATAAATGCATAGAAACAACTGGTAACATGTTAATGCATTCAGATATCTCAGGTTGTTTGCTGCATGGTCCTCTAAGTTCTATAAAGTCATGTTTGAATACTTCACTCACTTGAACTTTCATGCTGGTAGTTTTCTTTTAAAATTGCTATTTGGATAACTGCAAAAATAAGCAGTTCTAACCTGTATTTAAACAGTTGTGTTTAAACAACTGTGTTTGAACAACAACAACAGATAAATTGTATTGTATATCCATTTTATGCAACTATATAAATCTATAAATTATAATATAAAGAATGTATTTTTTATGTAATAAAACTTTTTTTGTTTGACAGTTGATTTGAAATGGTGCAAAGGTGTTGGTGCCAGCAGCTGGTGCACCATAAAGTTAGTTCAGTTTAAGGAGTATTTTTTTAGACTCGTTACACCACGCTCTCCCAACAACATATGCATCTATTTTACTTGTAAAATGGATGGAAATGAGTTCTGAGTTCTGTCTTGAATTGAATCTTATGCACTGAAATGAAATGAAGAGCTTTGTTAGTTGATTTCAATTTCATATGGTTGCAGGACTGAAATCTGATTTGTGTTACTTGCATCAGGTTTTCAGGCATTTGTTCTTGCAATGCTAAATAATAAGCAGGATGTTGATGGTAACATATAGTAAGTTTTCATTGAGTTAGAAATAATTATGAATGCTTAAATTCTCTGTATGGAATTCCAGAGCATTATCCCCTGTCAGCTTACATTTTATTTGGTTTGTTTATCCTCTCTAACATGAACCACTTGTACTAGATTCAGAAAATAACTTGCTAGAAACTGTGTTGTATGTAGCTTGCTTTCATTTGTTTCAATTGTAGCTGCTTGCCTTGATACTACACTTTCATATCACCTTAAAGATGATTACCAAAAATGGCTGAAAACTTAAGACTACTTGATTTTTCAATGCTTTTAATGGTAAAATATTGTGAAAGAATTTGTTACTTTTCCTATACTAACTTAAAACTTTGCTTTGTTTCATACAGTAAACTCCATTAAGTTTCATCCCACTGAGCAAGTGGCTCTTACAGGTATGTAAAGTTTTTTCATATGTTAAGGATGTCAGTCTTGATGGAAAATAAGTGTAATTTGCTAGTTTGTTCTGGTTAGTTTGTTCTGGTTGCAGCCTCTCTCCCTATTGCTTGTCAGCATCCTTGTTGATTGAATTATTTTTACATCTGAAGGCATAACAAATCAGAGCTAGATCTTGCCATCTGTGTTTTTCATCTCATGTTGTCATTTGTGCTTGCCTGCTCCAAACCAGACACTTAGAATCATACATCAGGTGAATGTTCTGGAATTCATCCCAGAGTACTCAAAGAACTAGTGGGTGTGATGGCAGGATACCTCCTGATTACCTGCCAAAGTTCTTGGGAGTCTGGAGAGGTCTTTTCTGACTAGTGTTACTCCAATATTGCAAAAAGGGTGTGAGGAAAGACCAGTGGAACTACAGACCCGTTAATCCAATCTCAGTTCCTGAAAAAATGATGGAGATTATACTGGGTACTGCTGAGAGACACTTAAAGAGTAATGCAGTCATCAGGCACTGTCAACATGGGTTCACAAAGGGAAGGTCCTGTTTGATTAATTTGACATCCTTCTAGGATGAGGTCACCTGCCTAGGGGAGGAACATGTGGTGGATTAAGTTTTTCTGGTTTTTAGTAAGGGTTTTGGTACTGTCCTTCACAGTCTTGTTCTGGACAAGTTGTCCAGCTGTGGGATGAGCTGGTTCATGGTGTGCTGTGTGGGCAGCTGGCTGAAGGGCAGAGCTCAAGGGTGGCAGTAAATGGGGCTGTGTCTGTCTGGCAAAGGATCACCAGCCCTGTGCAATAGATTTATCAGTGACCTGGGTGCAGGAGTTGAAAGCATCATTAGCAGGTTTGTTGGTGATATCAAACTGGGAGTGCTGCTGATTCTTGTGAGGTACAGGAGGCCTTTCAGAGGGATCCAAAAAAGTGAGAACACTGGGTGATGAGTAATGGGATAAAATTTAGCAAGTTCCAATGCCAGATGCTGCATAAAGCAGAGTAATGTTAAGCACAAGTATAAGTTGGGAGAGGAGTGGCTGGAGAGCCTGAAGAATTAGAACATGTTTGTTCTGACCATAACAAGGACAATCTTGAGTTTGTCCTTAGTTAATAATGAATAAGTCTATTTTAAAGCAGATGGAGTTAAAATCATATGGTCCCTTCTGAGCTGTAAACTGCCACTAGTTAAGCTGAGTTTAAGGCAGAAAAGGAACAGCTTCACACTTGTTATTTTGGATTAAAATCATATGGTCCCTTCTGAGCTGTAAACTGCCACTAGTTAAGCTGAGTTGTTTAAGGCAGAAGAGGAACAGCTTCACACTTGTTATTTTGGAATTCTCATTAAGACCATGATAATAACATTTAATGGAATCATTGAGTAAAGAACCTGAGTATTTTGAGAAACAGTAAATGAATATCTGGTGGTGTTATTTTGGATTTCTCATTAAGACCATGATAATAACATTTAATGGAAGAAATCATTGAATAAAGAACCTCAGTATTTTGAGAAACAGTAAACGAATATCTTGTGATGTATTAAATGCCTCCTTCAAATGCTACATATTGAGCAGTGGTGGGACTCATGTTCTGATGTGTAGTATTCAAGTGCTGTAGGAGTGATTAATTTGGTAGCTGCTCATATCTTGCATAATAAATTATGTTTGAGATGTTGAGACTTGCTTACCATAAAGTTCATACTCATGTCTGTTAGGAAAAGATGCAACTTAGACAGTATTGCTAAATTTAATACTAAAGCCTATTTTTATTGCCCATGGAAATATTTCTACTTATTCTCTCTCTCTCTTTTTTTTTTTTGCTTCTCCTCTCCTGTGCAGCATCTGGAGACCAGACAGCTCACATCTGGAGATACATAGTACAGTTGCCTACACCTCAGCCAACTGCAGACAGCAATGTAAGCAATCAGCTTGCTACAACTAAAGTAATTGCACAGCAATTTCATCAGATACAGGTTTTATGATAAGACTGAATGTTAAATTTACACATAATTAAAAAATTACATGATTTCAGGACTGCCAAAGGTGGGATTTTAAGGTTTTAGTTTATCAGCTGCATTTCAGCTTTTCTTTGAAAATAGGCTCCCTTCATGTTTTCAAAAGCATTTGGTGCAGAATAGAATTTACAGGTTCAAGTAGACAAATTAATATTTTGTTCAAGGTAGTAAATGTGTAAATGAACTGTAAATGAACAGTCAAATAACTTCTTCTTTTGTAATAATTAAATTCTTTGTAAATTGGTTAAATTTTTGTAGCATAACTTACTGAAGCATCTGTATTAGCTATAGTTGCTGTAGATTGAAAACTGATGGTAAAGACTTGTAATTTTGGCATTTATTTGAGTCCTCATTGATTTCTAATTAGCCCTTGCCAGCACACATCACTGTCTGATTTTGTTGTCCCCAGGCCTTTGTTTAGTCAGTATTTACTTTAAAGTATAAACCTGTCAAATGCTTATTTTACTAAAAAACACCCTTACTAAATTGTGAAGAAAACATAATTTATGGCATGAGCTTCTCAGTAGGCTAAGTAGGGGCAAGAGTTAACTTTATAATATGAGATAGATTTCTGAGTGGAAAATGTTTGATTCAGTTTATTTGATTTGGCATTTCCATTTTGAAAGAAAATACAAATGTTATCTTTTCCACCCCCAAGTAACATAAAAGATGTTTTTGTCTTGTGTAAGTGTAAAAGGAGTTCAGAGAATGATGTGTAATGATGAGCAAAAGAATTTATTTTGCATCCAGTTTACATAAGCACTGCATGATCACTGTGTGTTGATCAACAGACAAATATTGCTGTAATGATTTGATTTTTAATGAATAAAAATATATCTGTAAATTATTTTCTTCCCAAAGACTAACATAGTGTCTTGTTAGATGCTTCCTACCTCTAAAAATTGAAAGGAGAAAAGTCCCTTGGTAATGTGCTGCAATGAAACTCTAGGGTAATACACTTACCAGACAGTAAAGGGAACTGATACTCAGACCTAAAGAGTTTGTAGAAGATTTTAAAATGAAGTAGAAACATAGAGTTATTTAGATTGGAAAAAATCTCTTAAGATCATCAAGTCCAGCTGTTAATCCAGCAGTGTCACAGCCCTCCACTACACCATGTCCTTAAGGGTGACATGATTGGAAAAAATCTCTTAAGATCATCAAGTCCAGCTGTTAATCCAGCACTGTCACAGCCCTCCACTACATCATGCCCTTAAGGGTGACATCTACACATCTTTTAAATACTTCCAGGGATGTTGATTTCACCACTTCCCTGGCTTGATAACCTTTTTTTGTGAAGAAATTTTTCCTAATATCCAGCCTAAACATCCCCTGGTGCAACTCGAGGACTCTTCCTCTTGTCCTATCCCTTGTTCCTTGGGAGAAGAGTGATGCCCACCTGGCTGCACCCTCCTTTCAGGGAGTGGTAGAGAGCAATGAGGTCTCCCATGAGAGAGAGACCTCCTTTTCTCCAGGCTGAACAACTCCAGTTCCCTCAGCTGCACATCAGCAAGTTGTTAAAAGGAGTTCTTAAAACTGCACTTAACTTACTGGTTATATTCCTTCAACTAAGTTTGTGATAGTGAGTACTGGAATGGACTGGGTGCAGCAGAATTATTTTACCCACGTTCACATTAAGGGGGTTGGGAAGCATTTACACTGCAAAATGTAACTTAGAGACATTCCTTCCCTTTTATTCTACACCTTTTTTCCCTTGCATTTTTCAGCAAGTGTCTGGAGAAGATGAAGTTGAAATCTCAGACAAAGATGAACCTGATGGAGATGGAGATGGTTCCAGTGATTGCCCCACTGTCAGAGCCCCACTGACCTCCCTGAAAAGCCACCAAGGAGTGGTCATAGCAGCTGACTGGCTTGTTGGGGGGAAGCAAGCTGTGACAGCATCGTGGGACAGGACAGCAAATCTGTATGATGTAGAGACTTCTGAACTTGTCCATTCTCTTACAGGTATTTGTTCACTTGCAAAAAAAAAATTAAATTGGTGGTTTGTTTTTATATGAGGGATTATTTGTAGATACTAAAACACTGAGAAAATAAAGTTGTTTCTTAGGAGCAGGATGTGAGTGTGTACTGTCTGCTGCTTAGTGTTGTAAAAGTTTTTAAAATTGCAGTCTTGTAAATCCCCTGAGCATGAATTTGTCTTCTTTTAAGCTTATGATTTAACTATGAAAAAATAGTTGTTTAAATTGAATGTACCCAAAATTTAAAAAGCCTTTGCAAAAGGCTTTTGCTGTGTTCATGGTGTGTTAAGCAGCAATAACCTGCACTACTGAATGTGAGATAAGTAGTGTGACTTTTGCCTTCTAATACATTCCCAAACTTTTACAGCAGTAACAGGATTAAAGTTCAGAATGATCGTTACTCGTTTCTGTTGGGGAAAAGAGAAGAAACCATCAGCATGTCATTCCAAGCGTATGTGGAAATGAAAACTCTTATTTTCATTACCTTACACGTTCTGCTGTGTGGTTGCAGGGCACGACCAAGAGCTGACGCATTGCTGCACGCATCCCACGCAGCGCCTCGTGGTGACATCGTCCCGCGACACCACCTTCCGCCTGTGGGATTTCAGAGATCCTTCTATCCATTCTGTGAATGTCTTTCAGGGCCACACAGAGTAAGTGACAGCTCCTTCAGGTTTTCTTCAAGTTTGAAAAGTTGCAAATCTGCCCAGAAATGTTCCTGTGCGCTTTAAGGTGCTGAGTTCATTCCTGTTTTGTGAGACTGATTTTTCACAGAAAACCCCAATTGTGCTCCTTCAAATGTAGCACAGCAGTACATAATTTCCAAAACAGCAGCCAAGGCTCTTGGTGTGCTATTGCTCATATGGTAAGTCTTGATAAAAATTGTTACAATTAAAGTGATTTAGGGTATGAGGTTCTTTTTGGCATTGGTTATGCTTGCAGTTTGGGGTTATTGCTGCAATGCAGTGGATCAAGCAGATTGCCTTTGCTTGTCTTGATACTCACTATGAAGTAAAGGTTACTCCTTTGAAACCAGTGGATAAAAAAAGGATTAATTTTTACTCTCAAAAGCTTCTAATTTTTACACAAAATAAGAAATAAAAGTGCAGGCACTGATTGCCATGTTCTGTCAAAACAGTGATTCTAATGTAACACTTATAGTTACCTATTTAGGCTTAATGTTGTTATACTAGCTACTATTGAACATGGACAAATGTAGTCGTGAGCATCTGTGTTCTGGTGTTTACTTAACTTTTGGGTTTTTGGAGCTCTGATACATGGAAAATGCAGGTGTAACTTGGAAATACTTTACCCAAGGAAGCAAACCTTTTCTTGACTTATATATGTGTGACCTTGACTGCTTAGAAAAAAAATTCACCTCCCTTCCTCAGAATAAAAGATGATTGTTAATCCTAGCTCTAAATATAAACCCTAAGTATTTACTCACATTTCTGGTTTTATGTTAATTGTGTAATTTACATTATGACTGAGTTTCAGTGCTCTCTTTTCATTTTCTCAGCTCTTGACTAGCCTATATATAACCAAAAACCTCTTTAACCCCTTCTGCCCTGGACCCCTGAGCTTGATAAATGCTTGGTGCTTCACAATCATCCTGTATACATGGCCATCTTCTCCTGATAGAGCAGTAAGCTTGATTTTGCAGCCTACATCCTAGAATTGTTTCATCTCATCACTTTTGTATTCTTCTATCACTTTTCCTAGAATGTTGTATAAAGTTGGAATGTTTTGTATCCATTGGTGCTTGCATGTTTCCCCATGCTGATTAACTGCTTTGTCTCAGGATGTTTTTTTCAGAGAAATGACCAAGACTGACATTTGTGTTTTCCCATATATTTGCTGAGACCAAATGATGTTGATCTTGGGTGGTGGTTCATACTGTAAAAACTGTTAGCTGGTGTTTTGGCTTCTATTGCTGAGACCTATAAACTAGCAGAGTTTATCTTTCAGGAATGGAATAGACCTTGTGCAACCTCTTCAGTCACTCTTATTCTATCTTTTAATCATCTTTATGTTTGTGTTTGTGTGCTGTATCGGCTGTCTTTGTTTTGTACTTTGAATGTTCAAGTATTGACATAGAATTTTTCACCAAATACACCCTAAATTTGACAGTCTCAAAAGTGATTTTACTTTTCAGTGGCCAGGGCTGCTGGGGCTCTCATCTGTGGGAGGGGAAATTCTGTTACAGAAGGTGTTTCACTGATGAATGCAGACAGAGCAGAGATTAGGGGGGTTGATATTTTTGCCGTTGAGACATACTTGGGGGAATTTTATTTTTGTTTTTTTTTTATTGTACTGCCTACTGGCAAAATATTTTTAAATTACCCTCTAATCAACACTGCAACAATCTCTTCACATTAAGCAGCATAGAAGAAACTGTTCTGTGTTTTTTTTTTTTTGGCTTTTCTGAATGTCTGTTTGAATAATTTGCCAAGTATTTAATATTTTGATAGGCCTTTGGCATCAGTTCTGTAAATTGGATGTTACAGTTGTAACACTGATGATTTAAAATCCTCAACCATAAGTTTTAACACCCTCTGGCTGAATAGTACCTGATGAGTCTGGCACTCACAGAGCAGCTATTTTTTCACCAGACCAACTCCTAATGCACTATGCCAATATAATTAGATGCCAAACATCTCAATCATGAGGCCAGCATTCCGTGTTTATTGTGTCTCACATCATCTTGGATTAGCATAAAGGTTTTCCTCTGTGGAAGGTCAGTCAGCAGAAGCCCATAACTTTCTGACCATGGTTTCGTAAGAGAGGCGGCTACACATGGAAGTGATACATTTTCATTTGCTGAAGTTTTGTGACTGCATTTAAATTTCTCTGGCACTGTTACTCCTCAGCTTTCCTGGAAAGTGAGATGGGGGAAAAAGAATTTCACCCTGTAGCACAAGCATGGTTTGGTGAGATGGGTTATGTCTACATCAACTTTCTAGCAAATTAGGAGGGCACTTTTCAATGCAACTCTCCCAACTATCCCCACACACTGTGCTTTGGTTTGTGCTGTAGAGCTGTCTCAGAACATGTGAGATGCTTTCTTTTAGAATGAAACAAAGTTCTAAGATTTTCTCCAGAGGTGTTCGCATTATGTTCCAGCTGAAAACAAGTATTCAGCTGGTGTAATCAATCACTCGGAAGTGAAAAGCTGCAAATTGGAAAAATTGCAGGTGTGGGATCTCCAGTAACAGGTGTTTTGCTCCAGAGAGCTGCTTTTGCTAGTGTGCATTGCAGGTTGAGGTGGGTCAGCCCGTGTGATCTCGGGTGTGCAGGGCAGAGGTTCCCCCAAAGTTCATCCCAGCCGTCGCAGCGATCCCGTGCTGGCGGCGCGGGCCGCGCTGCGGGCGCTCAGCAGCAGGTGGCAGCACCGCGCCGCGCCCGGCCGCCGCTAATTGCCTTAATGAGCGACACTGCGGGCTCGTTATCGGGTGAAAACCGAAACTCGTGCTGGTGTGCTCAGACACTGAGGAACCCTGTTACTGACAGAGTATATAAAGCTTTTATGGTGTTAATTGGTGTCAAAAAATGAAGAGTTGCAGTCCTGTGTGTCAAAGTGACGGTATGTCATCATCTGTGAGAGGTGATTTGTATCTTAAGTGGATTAAGAAATCACCTTTCATTTTAGTGTCCTGAACATAGCTTTATTAAAAGCAGAATGTTTCTTATCATCTAGTACTAAGGCAGTTTAAGAAAATAAATTCTCTTCCAGTAAAGCCAGAAGGAATCACTGTGATCAACCTGTCTTGAGCTGCTTGCATTGATAACTGTTTTGAATTTAGAGATAATTTTAGAATTGCCAGCTGTAGTTAGGTTGTTCCAATGGTAAAGATTTCAACTTATCTCTAGGCAAATTCTATAAGTTGCATGTTTAACTTCCCTGTTAAACTTTTTGTGCCTCCTACATAGCTTTATTAAAAGCAGAATGTTTCTTATCATCTAGTACTAAGACAGTTTAAGAAAATAAATTCTCTTCCAGTAAAGCCAGAAGGAATCACTGTGATCAACCTGTCTTGAGCTGCTTGCATTGATAACTGTTTTGAATTTAGAGATAATTTTAGAATTGCCAGCTGTAGTTAGGTTGTTCCAATGGTAAAGATTTCAACTTATCTCTAGGCAAATTCTGCATGTTTAACTTCCCTGTTAAACCTTTTGTGCCTCCCTAGTCTGCCTAGCTTCAGATTCATCTTTTGGTTTTTTTATCTTCAAGAGTTTTGTTTCCTATGTTAATTACAGAAATTTCCTGTACTTTCTTCTTGTATTTTCTGTTCTTATTTACAAGTTACCTATTTTGCCTCAAAGTGTTTTTCTAAGTATATTTTGGTATTCATAGGCTAAGTATATCACCCTGATAGTACTTTTGCCCTTCAAGCCTGCATTCAGCTGGGGTCTTTTTCGAAGTTGTATCTTTCAATGGAAGTTTCCAGTTCTGTAGACATTCTTGTTTACATTTTTCATATATATATGTGTGTGTATGTATGAATATGACTATTTCAGTTCAATAAATGACTTATTTGCCTGTGTCCTACTCACATAGCAGTAAAAGTGTCTTGTCACTTACTGCTTTAGATCTGCCATGCCCTCAGTTCATCTCATTTACTTATTCTTTACTGATGAAAAAAATATGAAATGGTGTGGAAATAAGACTGATGTTTGCTTAAATATAAATATTTTTTATTGTCTGGTTCTGTATGTGCACCAATAGGAATTTGTCTTGCTAGTGCTGTGAATTCCCAGTCACACCCCCATATGAAGAGTTTAACAGAGTCCTGGGAAAAGATTACATTTATGTTATAATCCAGGCACTAACTTGTGGCCTTTAACTAAATTGATCTCCTGAGTTAAAGCCTCCAAAAATCATACAGGTGACTCATATTCCAGTGTCTTTTTTCTAGCAGATACTGCTTTGAAATGGATCTCCTGAGTTAAAGCCTCCAAAAATCATATTGGTGACTCATATTCCAGTATCTTTTTTTCTAGCAGATACTGCTTTGAAATACATGATTGATAATAACAACTGTTCTCCTATTGAGAAATTATTCAATTTAGAGGTTATTGATTAGAGCTCTTCAAAATGAACTGAGGTTTTGTTCTGTGGAGCAAAATGGTTCTGGCATTTACATGGCAGTTTTCCTTCCACTTTGCTGACACCTGCACAGCCCATCTTGTCCCAGTTGGCCTTGCTTTCCCAACACAGTGGCCTAGTTGAGTAACTCTGGTGTTGACATGCTCTTGAATATCTGCTTGATGAGTTTTTCTGTCCATTTAAGCACTCTGCATGTGCTGGGGTGTGTCTTGATGAAGTCTTCTAAAATGTTAATGCTGGAAATATTTACTGTTTGTAGCTTAAATTTTTTTTTAAATTAGCCTATACAGGTCTAGCCAGTACTTTACAGATTTTTGTGCATTTTTTCTTACAGTTTAGTAACACAGGAAATAAATTAATCCCTTATGGGCAACAGAATGTTTATGAGCTAGTGGATTCATATACAGCGTTTAAACTACAGCTTTTACTATACATTTGAAGTATATTGATACATGCAGCTGAAAAATTACTTGGTAAATCATAAAGGGTTTTGTTTTCCTTAGTGACTGCCAGGGGTACATTTTGGTTGGGGACATTGCTTTTGAA